GTCCCCTCCAAATTCCTGTCCAGAACCTCCGAATGTGGCCTCCTTTGGAAATAGGGTCTTTCCAGATGTAATTAGTTAAGGCTCTCGAGATGAGATCAGATTTAGGTCAGACTTAGGTCCACCCTAAATCCAGCATTTGGTGTCCTTGTAAGAGAAAGGAGAGGGAGACAGACCCAGGGAGGAGGCTCGCCTGACGACAGAGGCAGGGACAACAGCCGCAGCCCAGGCAGGGCGCCCCAGGAGCTGGAAGAGGCCGGAGGGCCCTCGCTGGAGCCTGCAGGGCGCGTGGCCCTGCGACCCCTTGATTCTGGACCTCGGGCCTCCAGGGCTGTGAGAGTACCTCTCGGTCGTTTGAAGCCACCAGGTTTGTCGTACCAGTCGCAGCATCCCCAGGACACAAGCACAACTTCTTGCTGGAAATGGAAAAAAAAAACGTTCACAGTTAAGGCCAACACCGATTTCATGGAGATAGCTGTGTTTGCAGCTGACCTCCAACTGCATGATGGTTTGAGCAGAGGGACAGAAGGACCCGGGCACCGTCAGGCCCTTTCCACTGGGTAGCGGTGTGTTAAGGCAGCTGGCTGACCTGCAGCGTGGCTCTGGCAGCTCAGCCCCCCTCTGCCGTCCTCCTGCGCACGGGGGCGGCCTGAGGAACCAGGCTTCCCTGCGGCCACTGGGAACCGCCTTTGGGCAGGAGTATTGTCGGCAAAGCCAAATGCAGACCTCCGGGAACTGAACGAAGCGCGCTCTCTCGGGGTGCGGGGCCTTCCTCTGTCTGGGCCGAGGTAGCAGGTGGCCCTTTAGAGGACATCGTGGAGCCCTTAGGTCGAGGTGGAGGGGGTCCAGATGTCCAGACAACGGGAAGGCAGAGCTCGGGAGTGGCTGTGGCCACAGTGGGGGCCCCGGCTTCGCTTTCGGCCTGGTGGACGTTGACCACCTGGCCGACCCAGATCGGCAGGGTTCTGGAACCCTGGGGGCAGAGCGCTGCGGGAAGGGCCGGGCCGGACCTCCCTCTGTTTGCCGTCACGGTTTGGGGAGCACGGCCCGCCCTGTCCTCTCGCGGTGGCTTTATTATTTCAGAATGCGCTCTGCTTGGCCCCCGACCTGCCAAGTTGGGACTTGGAAAGCAAACACTCCCAGATGTCACATGTGTTTTCCAAGTAGAGATGAGAGAATTTGAAGTGTATGAAGAACAAATACACCTGAAGCTAAGCGTTTTAAAATCAGCACACAGAATTTAAGAAGGCTGCAGGCCGCCCACCTGGAGAAGGGCCAGAAGCACAGCTTAGCGTGAGAGTGTGTGAGGGGGTGAGCATGGGTGAGTGTGTGTGTGTGAGGGTGTGCATGCAGGTGCATGTGAATATGAGTGTGTATGTTTGAGGGTGTGTGTGTGAACACACAGAAGGGGGTGAGTGTATCAGCAGTGTGACTGGATGTGTGGGGGCACAGACGTGTGTCCGTGCGTGTGTGTGAGGTTGTGTGTGCCTGCCTGTGTCTTAGTGCACACTGCCTGCCTGGCGGGGTGGCGGAGCCCAGCGTCCTGTGGCCGGCGGGGCACCCTGGGAACCCAGGAGCGGGCCTGGGAGATGGGACGGTTTCCATCGATGGTGGAGCGGAGAGGAGGGTCCGCAGGGGTCCGCGGGCAGCTGTCCTTTCCCCACTTCTGAGCAGGGTGTGGGGCCTCTGCTCACAGGTCTGCAGGGGCAGCCCGCCCGGGGAGAACAAGTGGCCGGCCTGGCTGGGCCTTCTGGCCTCTGCCTCTGGGCCCTGCCTGGTGGGGGCGTGGAGCACAGAGAGCCCACCCGAGCCTGCCCGGCCCTGGGGGTGGGCTCACGCTGGGTCACGGGCCTGGTGCCCTAAATAGGGACGAAGCTCAGTAGGAGGTCAGCGACTGCACGTCTTCCCCCCCCCCGCCCCGGGCTTGAGGGACGCAGGCCAGGTGCCCTTTGCTCAGCAGGCTGTGTGCTCTCGGGTGCCACAGCCTGGGAGTGAAGATTCTTGGTGATACTGGAGGAAGTAGAGGGGTCTCAGATTTTTCAGGAGCCTTGCATGTTTCTGATGATTGTTATGCTAATTATGGATCAGTTTCACTTGTACCTTAAAAAACAAGCTCATTGGAAGCGTTCCCTTGGATGAGTGAAAGGGTTTTCTTACACCCATCAACTGTTCCACTCTCTGAAACCCACGGGGTCTGAGGCCCCGAGATCTGCTTTCTCAAGGAGCCATGCCTGGGCGGGGGCCTGGCGCAGGGGCACGCGGGGCTGCCCAGAGGAGGGACTGGGCTCCGGTGCGGTGGCAGCAGGGTCTCGGCTGCCCCAGGCCTCAGCCCTGGAGATGCCGCGCAGAGAGGGCTGCGCTGGCCGAAGGGCCCGGTCTCTGCATCTCCATACTGACCCGTCGCCGGCTGTGGGCTGCCCCAGCAAGGGTGTGTAGCTTTGGGTGTGGGATTTCTGGGGGGTATGTGAATGCAGAGCGTCAGCTGTGAGCCGTCATCACCCAGCACCCCAGAGCCTGGGTCCTGGGGGGTCGTGCTCCACAGCTCCCACTGACAGCAGCATCCAAGTTTTCTTTTTAAAAACTGATGATAAATTTTTATATCACTGTTCAGTTTGCTCAAATTCCCAGTTGTCTCGTACATGCAGGCTGTGGTCTGAATCATGTCCCCCAGATTAATAGGCGACAGCCCTAACCGCCAGTGGATCTGTGTCTGGAGATGGGGCCCAGAGGGAAGTAATTCAGACAAACGATGAGTGTGGGCCCTGCTCCAAGAGGATTAGTGTCCTCGTGAGAAGAGACAGCGGAGATCTCTGTCTCTCTGTGCACATACTCTGAGGAAGCGCCGTGGGAGGCCACGGTGAGGCGGCCGCCTGCAAGCCGAGGAGGGCCCTCTGCCGGCCCGGCTGTGCTGGCACCTGGCCTGAACTCCGCGGGACACACTTCTGTTGTTTCAACCCCCAGCTCATGGTACTTTGTTATGGCAGCTTGAGCAGACCAAGGCAGCAGTGACGTATCCACATGGGTCCATGTTGAAAAGGCACCAAAGGGCATCCGGTGAACTCCTCTGGGGATCCCAGTGACTTCTGGGTTTGGGGACGACGCTGCCATTTGAAGGCACACCTCGCCGTGCACCGAGGGTCCTGGTGCCGGATGTCTCCGGAGCTCCGAGTTTCCTATCTCTTCATACCAACCTTTTAATAATCCGAGAGCACTAGCCTCACAAAGGAGAAATTGTTAAGTACGACCCTGTGCAGACATAACATTTTTATGTGACTGCAAATGCATAAATAAGTCAAAAGTTAAACTGGAGCCAGGAGGGCGTTATCCCAGAAATGGCAGAGAACAGTTAATTCCTTAATTTACGGGGAGCGTGTATAACACACAGAGAACAAGACCAACCATCTGATAGAAAAAGTGATCAGGCCGTTCAGAGACAGGAAGCGGCCGTTGCCAATAAAACTCAAACAGGTGTCGGGCCTCATCAGAAGTGAACACAAATAAAACACCTTTGAGATTCATTTGTCAGGAGTGCACATAATTGTACAGATTGATCATGCTTCCTGTCAGCGAGGACGGGCGAGTCTCTTCATCCTTTTGGGGAGGGCGGTTTGGAAACAGCTATCAAAATGCAAAGCTGTGTGTGCCTTGGGTTCATCGCTGGTAGGAATTTTCTCGAGAGAAGTATCCTTAAAGCCCGCCAAGGAGGATGTATACCAGAAAGTTATCTGCAGTAAAGCGAGCTGCAGGCAGCCGACACGTCCGTCAGTGAGGGAACAGGAAGCCCACGGGGTCCTCTCAAGGTGTGCTGTGTGGCCGTGGGAAGAGGAGGAAGAGCTCCCAGGGCTGACGGGGGTTCTCCGAGGTGCAGCGGTGAGCCGACGTGCCGGACGGCATGGGCAGGGCATCCAGTTCTCTTGGTTTTTTCTGCAAGAAACAGCTGAAGACATTTTTAATGCCACACTGTTTGTGGGGTTGTTTTTTTTTAGGATGTGAATGTAATACCTTTATTTTTAAATGCATTCATTTGAAAACCAGTAACAGTGGGGTCTGAGGACTTTCTGGTTGTTAGAGGCTCCTGTCGGTCTGTGGGCCTGTGAGGGCTCAGAGATGTCCACCCCGTGGCAGGGGCAGGGCGGGACCATGTCCTAGGGAGCGAGGATCGCCTGGCTGGACCGCTCCTGGCTGACGCGGTGGCCTTTCTGTTGGTGAGCACTCTGGGTCCGATGGGCCTGGGGGCAGAAGCGGTCAGCTTGGACTGCCTGGTCAGTTTCTACGAGGAGGCTTCCAGAACCCTCCTGTCTCTGAGGGACTGGGCTACAGGGAGGGCACTGGCCTGTCCTTGGTGAGCTCCGAGGCTGGTGGGAGAGACAGACCTGACTAAAAACGAACTGGACTCTGGTGCTGGCCGGGCGGTGGGGGCTGCGTGGGGGGCAGCAGGGCAGGTGGGCGCAGGAGGCCCTGGGCCTAAGCAGGGCTGGTCCCGGCCCGAGGAGCCCAGCGCCGCACTGGCGTGGGTGTGGGCGTGGGGAGGGGCACGGGGCCCTCTCAACCTCAGTATTTCTAGGTAATTCTCTCGAAAGAGAGCCGGGCTCAGCCAGTGGGTGTTCAGAACGGAGCTGGATGCTAAGAAGTGTTCACTGATGCACCGTCCTCTGCCCCTTGAGCAGGGGGACCGCTGGGCAGGCCCAGGACAGGGACGGGTCGGAGTGACTCAGCCACCTGATGCGTTAGGCTGAGGACCCCCTGGGGGTGCTTACTGGGACCCTGCTGCCCGGCCAGCCGCAGATGCCCACCAGGCACCGGATGCCCTTGTTCTGGCGGGAACAGCACGCATCTGGTTGCAGCCGACTCCGGCGTGGTTCCCAGAGGCCCCACGTGCTCCCGGGTTTGGGTTGAGCTGCTGGTTCTGCAGCGGTGTTGGTGGCCTCGGCGTGGGTGTGCCCCTCCCCCGCCACCCCATCCCAGGGCCGCTGTGTGAACCCCGCCCCGCTCTCGTCCCCCAGGCGAGCACTGTGAGGTGAATGTGCGCTCCGGCCGCTGCGCCCACGGCGTGTGCAAGAACGGGGGCACCTGCGTGAACCTGCTCATCGGCGGCTTCCACTGCGTGTGCCCCCCCGGCGAGTTCGAGAGGCCGTACTGCGAGGTGACCACCAGGAGCTTCCCGCCACAGTCCTTCGTCACCTTCCGCGGCCTGAGACAACGCTTTCACTTCACCGTCGCCCTCGCGTGAGTGGTCCCCACACACCCCGTCCCTCCAGGTAACAGCAGAGCCCGTCCGCTGGGCCGTCCGGGAGCTGAGTAGCCCTGGCCAGAGCCGGCTGCAGGACCGGCTACTTAATTTTAGGGCCCCATGCAAATTGAGGATGGGGCCCTTGTTCAAAAGTTAAGAATTTCCAGTTGGCAGTAGCAGAGCATTAAGCCAGACATGGGGCTCTGTTTGCCCACGTGGGGCGCACGCCCATAAAGCCACTGGGCTGTTCTGGTCCCGCTCACCTGCCAGCGTGGAGGGCAGGGGACCAGCAGGCCTGGGGATCAGACTCAGCGTAGCCTCCTGCCGTGCCACCTGTTAGCTGGGTACCACGGGCGGCTGTCGGACCCCTTTAGCCTGGGTCCTTCGTCCATCGCCTGAGGATGCAGGCGGACTGTGCCTCAGCCATTCTTCTATTTTTGCATCTTTTTCTCCAGGAGAATCTAGATTTAATTCAATTTTTAAAAACGTATCATTTCCATTGAAGAGATCTCTATCAAGTTTAACTTCGGAGAATAGGGTGTTTTTATGTTTGATCGTTGTGTAGGGGGCCCATTATTAGGGGAGCACAGTCTCCGGGGGGAAGGCTGCGTTCTGCGTCCCCCAGAACCCAGAGGCTCCCTCGAGAGGCCCTTGGAGAACGGGGCTCCTCAGGGCCGGGTGGGGCAGGCTCCTCCCCTGGGAGGCCCGCCCCTGAGCAGGTGAGGGGTGCAGCCCAGTCGACAGGCCCCGTGCGGTGCTGGCGTGAGCACGTCCAGGCAGCCCCCTGCCCTCTCTCCCGCTCTTCTCAGTCAGGTCCTGGGAGTCCCTCCACCTCCGGTCTCCCGTGTCCGGCCACTTCCCTCCTTCCCGGGCCCCCGTCCTCGCCCCCGGGTGACTCCTGGTACTGGCAGCCGTGGTGCCATCTGCTCTCAGCCTGAGTCAGGTGGTTCCCTGTCGACCTCCTGCCAGGCCTGCCGGCCATCTGGAGTGAAACCCAAACTTCTCAATAGGGCACATGGGGACGCCCTGTGCCCTGACCCCTGGTGACCCCTGGTTCTGGCACCTTGCGCCCTGTGACCTGGCCACCCTCACCTCGTGATTCTCTGGACCTGCCCCGCCTCTCGAAGGCCGTTTCCTCGCCTCCTGCTGCCGGTCTGCCTGACTCCTGCTCCTGCTCCCTTGAGGAAGCCCCGCTGACCCAGGCCGGGCGACCCCGGCCTTCCAGCTCCGGCTGGACGGTCTGGTCACAGCCTGCGTGTCTGCTGCCTGCAGCCTCTGACAGCCCTGCTTGCAGGATCAGGCTGCCGTCCACCTCGACTGCCCCGAAAGGGTCCTGGTGAGGGCACTTGGGTAGCATGGGCGTTCTGTACATCGTGGCTCGGATCTCACCCGAACCCTGTCCTCCACGCTAGCGCGTGGGTTGGGGTGGGAACGCACGCCAGATTTCCTGATCCTTATTTTTGTGCTGGCTGTCAGATTATTTGTGTTAAAGTCTCCAAAGCAGATGCCTGTCCTTTTGAAACCTTTCAGTGACTGCATGGGATCCGTGGCCGGGGTTTCCGGGCTTCAGGCCCCAGGCTTCTGAGCGCATGCTGAGGCCCAGCTCTGTCCGTCCCTGTCCACCTGCTGGTCTGAAGCTCCTCGGGGGCTTTTCATCCTGTGTCCCAACACCCAGGCTCCCAGAGGTCAGCGAGCTGGTTGTTCCTTGCAGACAAGACACGAGTGCCCGCTGCTCCCTGCCTGTGGCCCCGTGACGTCGGCCAGGGGCCTCCTGTGCTCTCAGAGGAGGGCTCTTTGGCCTGGTGGGGGGTGGGAGGGGTAAAGTTGCAGAGGGCGGCCATCCCGGGCATTCCGAGTGGCGTGGGGTGTCAGCTGCCCCACCCACCTGGCCCTGCTCCAGCCGCCCGGTAAACTCTTGGGCTCAGACATGTGCACTGGGTGCAGACGATGTCCTCTCAGAGGACGCTCTGTTTAGGGAGACTGGTACCCCGTGAAACACCTGCTGGGCTCTGCCCAGCTCATCTCAGACCTCAGCGTGCGCCACACTGCAGCAACATGCGGGCTTTGTGCTGGTTCCTTCTCATTTCCTGTCAGGCTCGTTTCCTTCTCACAAGGACCCTGGGAGCTGGGTACCACTGTCACCCCCTTCCCGCAGGCGAGGAGCCTACGGCAGAAGGGCTGAGAAGCCTGCCTGAGGCGGCAAGGCTGGTCAGCGGGACCCACAGGGTTTGCCAGTAGCCCGTGCTCTTAATGTCACCTCCTCCCCCCACCCCCATAAGCCTCCTGGCCCAGGGCTTGCTCGTCCTGATCTGCAGGCATTTCCCAGCTTCTGTCCTCTTCCTGAATTTCCCTTGGAGACCAGCTTTGATAAAGTAGCAAGGGGGCTGTGATCCCCGGAGCCCGTGTGTGTGCTGGCGGCCCTGCTCCTGGCTCTGAAATACAGTTTGTAGTGTTGTGTCAGTTTCTGGTGTACAGCACAGTGTTTCAGTCCCACACAGACATACATCTGTTCGTTTTCGTATGTTTCATTATAGGTAACTACGAGATACCGAATGTGGTTCCCTGTGCTGTGCAGTAGAAGCTTGTTGCTTAATTTGTGTACAGTTAGTATCTGCAATCTGCTCCTGATCTCAGAGCGTTGACCCCTTTTCCGGGAGCTAGCAAGACGGGAGGTGGGGGACGTGGCTCCAGTCGGCCCCCTGGACCCAACTGCAAGGCGGCAGCGTTATTTGATTCTAAAACCGGTTTTGGAGGTTTGGGCCACTTGGAGCCCCACCGTTTTGAAGTTATTGCCCACATTTTGGTACCCGGTTTCCAGCTCCACCATGTTCGGTAAAACGGCTAACGAGGGACCCTCTCCAGGCCAGTCGTGAGGGCTCACGGGGGTTGGCACTTCACCCTCCCGTTCACAAGCAAGCCCCTGCCTGCTTGGAATATTAGGCCCCCGCCTTGCGCCCACAGGCCCTGTGCTCAGAAAGCCACCGTGTGGGCACAGCCTCCAAACTGAGGGCTCCTCTGTGGGACCTTGGCCACTCTGTCCCACATGGCTTCCATGGGTGCCTGCCCCCCAAGTCAAAGGCGCCCTGCATCTTCAGGCAAACATGTCGCTGGCATGTGGTTTTGGTGTCTAGGTGGCCACAGCCCCCTGGGCGTGGTCGGCACCCTCTGTCACGTGCAGCACAGTGAGTGACCTGCAGGAGGCTGACCTCAAAGGTGACCAGAAGTCCTGGTGCTGTAGGCAGGCAGGCCCACCGACATGGGGCCGGCAGACATGCCGGAAACCAACACAGGGTGTCTGTCGGCTCCAGACTCAGAAAAAAATGAAAGAATACTCTTGTCTAAGTAAATGTCCACGTAACGTGGTGCCTGTGTCCTCACTTCTCGTATTTCAGACGATCACATTTGACAGCAGTTTGTGGACGACTTCCGGTACGCCTGACGACGGCTGAAACGTCAGGGCCGACGCCAAACCGGGAGGGTTTTGCTCCAAAGGCAAAGTCATAAAAAGCCCCCCCAGAACTTGGGCAGAAGAGCAGTCACACGCTGGGGCTGTGGTGGCTTTGGAGCAGGGCCCCGGAGGAGCGGGCCCCGCCTCCTGAGGGGCGCCCCGTGGGAAAGGGGGGCTGGGGCACCGGCCCGGGGCTTTTGTTTCAGGCGGTTCTTTCCAGGCTGCTTCTCTTCTTTCTGGTTTCTGTTTGCCAAGGGTCCGGGCTCCCGGCCCCACGGTCCCGCAGCCTCTCCTCCCCCGCCTCCCCGCCCCCGTCCTTTGTTCGCTCCTTCCCGGGCCCCCTTGCCAGGCCTCGGTTTCTATTTCTGGCCTTTCCTCTTTTCCCTTACGAGGTTCAGGCCCTCCCCGTGGCCCTGGGTCCCTTCTTTGGCTCTCGGTCCCCAGCAGTGAGGGTTTCTGCCGGAGGACCATTCAGCCCTGACCCCCCGGACCAGCTCCCACCTCGGTCCAAAGGGAAACTCACAAGAGCGAGACCCACCAAAGGGGAGCAGGTGTGCCCCGGAGTCTCGGGCCGCAAGTGCGTATCCCAGCCTTACCTCAGCGTCCTCCTTCCACCTGCTCACTCCACGCCCAGAGCATCCACTCTGCCGTGCAGGTGTGTCCTCTGCCACCTTCTAAACGGGGTGTCGAGTCCGGACGGGAACTGTCAGTTTTAAGTAACTAACTCAGGGAAACGGCTGAGGTCAGGCGCCCCAGGCTCTTTCTGACAGGCTCCTGCTGCACGAAAACAGATAAACCAACCTGGAATCAAAGGAAAGAATTTCCCCCACTTAATCTCCGATGAGGGAGACATCCAGCTCACTCAGGAAACGGTCCCCAGTTCACTCGGGAGGTTTGCCCGGTTCTCTGTAACCTGGGTGTCGAGGAGGCGTCGAGGCGACTTGGTGTGTCCGGGACCCTTGGGTCTGATGGACCACGGGGGTGGGAGAAGGGTTTCTGAGGCTGTTTACCTCTTGTCGCAGGAAGTGGTCTGAATGCTTAAAGCCTGACGAGTCTGCTCGTTTTCACGCGTCCGTCGGTTCGCGCGTGCGGGCGTCCATCCGCTGACTCAGCGCTTGTCTGGACCAGATCTTGTTTTGGTCTCCAGGATGCAGCGATGAATGAGAATCCTAGTCCCTCCCCTTGCAGGATCGCACGTTCTTGTAAACAAATAAACAAGCAGGGTGCTTTCAGAAATGAAATGAGGGGTTGATGGGGTAGGGGCACCATTTAGATAAAATGAGCTGGGGAAAGCACAGTTGGTGTGGCGTACGGGAGAGCTGCAGAGCCAGGGAAGATTGTTCCCCACGTGGGAAACAACAGGTGCAAAGGCCCGGGGGCAGGGAAGAGTGTAGCACTGGGGAGCAAAAGGACTCAGTGTGGCTGGAGTGTGGTGGTGGAGACAAGGGACTTGGCCCTGAGGGGTCATCAGCACCCACATCCCTGTGTCCTGGGGCACATCCGCAGAAGAGGCACTGCATGTGTATTTGGTCCAAACATTTCCCGATGGTATAGTGGCCATTTCATCTGTCTATAACATTGTGCAGATGGAACCTTTTCACCTTATATGGGTCGTGGTCACCAAATTCCCCCCTAGAACCTGGTTTGTTCCTTCCAGAGAAGACTGCCACTGATCAGATTTTATGGACTGTCAACCCCTCATATGAAAAGAGCCCTGGGGACCAGAGTCTTCGCTGAGTGTGGCCCCTGCCCTCGCCCACCCCGGCCAGGCTAACTGCTCTGGGCAGCCTCTGGTTTCTGCTGCCTGCAGACCTTCCACCCCGGGGTCATCCGCTGTGTGATGTGCTTCTGCTTGGCCCCGCAGGTTTGCCACCCAGGAGAGGAACGCCCTGCTGCTCTACAATGGCCGTTTCAACGAGAAGCACGACTTTATCGCCTTGGAGATCGTGGACGAGCAGGTGCAGCTCACCTTCTCAGCAGGTAAAGCCTCCTGCACCGGAAAGAGTGGCCCTCAGAGCACGTCACGGGCGCCTTGTCGGTTAAAACCAGCCCACCCCGTGCAGCGCCTTCGAGCCTGCTCACCTGCTGATCCCTGGATCCACATCTGGGAATCCGTCCTGTGGGAGAGATCCCGAATGCACAGAGATGTTCACTGCAGCGTTGTTTACAATGCTGGGAACACAGCTCAGATTTCCAAAAATTGGGGGATCATTGAAGTGTGCTGCTGCTTCTGTAGATGACCGACATTTGCAAAGCCATGAAAAATGTTTCTGGGTTGTTGGCAAGAACGTTTGTCCAGACTGTCAGAAGGACTTTTAGCCTCAGGGGCCCGCTCACCTGTCTTTTCTCTCTGGATCTCCCCCTGCCCCACAGGTGAGACCACGACGACAGTGTCCCCGCAGGTTCCCGGGGGCGTGAGTGATGGGCGGTGGCACTCGGTGCAGGTGCAGTATTACAACAAGGTAGGGCGGCGCCACCCCACCTCCTCCAGCCTAGGGGCGCGGTGGGGGGAGCCTGGCAGCTTTTCTGTCTTCAGACATTTATACTCTGAAATTTAAATAAATACGCTGGTTGAAAAAGGTATTTAGGAAATGAGCGTTTGTTGAGGGTCTGTGTAAATAAACCCAAGGCCTGTGCTGGGGCGGATACTCCCCCAGGGAGCGCTGGGCGGGGAGACAGGGACCCCGGAGACCACCCTACACTGAGAAGGACGCAGAAAGAGTTTATTCATTACAGCTGCCTTGGCCAAGTCATTACTGGAGGCTAAAATTCCAGGCCATTCAAACCCAATTCCAAAGCGAAACTCCTTTCCTCCGCTCTTACCTGGATGAAACCCGAGAGTCAGGAGGCTCTCCAAGGAAATGCTGGGACGGCCTGGGGGCTTTAGGGGTGTCCTTTTATTTTGCTGTTTATTGGCTTGTAAGGAAACTCCTTGGTGGTTTTTGCATCAAAATGCCCCGTTTTCCACTGCTGTGGTTTTAGCAAACCACTCGCCTTCCTGGGAAGCTCCCAGGCGCCTCCCGCTTGCTGAGCTTGGCCGCAGACCCCACCCCCGCCCCCCAAGGCCGCAGGGCTCAGCCTGGGCTTGGCTGGCAGGTAAGGGGCCCTCCCTCAGTGAGAAATGCGCCCACGGAGGAAGAGTGCTTTGTGTCCTTCACGTCTGCTGCCTTTCAGGGTATTGACACAGCAGTGGTTAGCGAGGGCCTCCTGCCCTTGGGCCTGAGGTGTCTGTCATCGAGGCCCCTCCCCTCCCCCTCCTTCCCCTGGTCTGGCACCACCCAGCCCTCTGCCTCCTTTACGTCTGGCCTGCCCTGGACGGCTCATTTCCCAGTTGCCCTAAATAGGCCACAAGCAGCGATCACCCTGCATGATGACCACAGTTTTTGTCCCCGGCCTGTGGGTGAGAGCTGCCCCCCCATCATCTAGGACAGAAGCCAGGCAGGTTCTGAGTCTGCGCCATATTTGTGATGAGGGCAAAGGAAGGTTCTGATGGGGTCAGGGTGCAGATCTGAAGCGACATGGGGCCCGGCGCTCTTCTTGGGACTTGGAGGACCAAGCAGAGGATGTTCACGGGTGCCTGGGACGGGGCCTGGGTGGCGCAGCCCCCTGGCAGCCCCGCCGCCCTTGCTCTGTTACCCTCCCGGGGCGTGATCTCATCAGTGCTTGGCTGCTTGATGCGGGGGGTGCAGTGGGGGCTGGAGGGAGACAGGGCGCCTCCAGGGACACGCTTGCAACTTCCCGGCTGTCCTGTCGCAAACCCCAGAGTCTTCTGCTGACGCGATGCTCCTGTGGCTGTTCGGGACGATTATTAGCCAGTGAGAGGTGCGCTCACCACCTGCTGGCCACCTGGGAGCAGCCTCGCGTGGCTGCTGTGTGAGGCTGCAGTGGGGTCGCACCCTCAGAGCCTCCCCTCCTGCTGACTTCCGGGGCCTCGAGGGCGGATGGGCACGGCGTGGGGTTTTCCTCCCAGTGTCTTAGCCCACAGGGCACATTTTCCCCCGTAGATACCTGTGGGCCTCTCCCACCTGGGGCTCCCCCAAGTGAGTTCTTCTGCCCCCTACAACCTGCACTCTAGGTCAGGTCATTTCTGCCCCTTCTCTCCCCTGGGGACGGTCTCCCCTGAAAGCGTTCTCTCACAAAGGAGCAGGCGAGGGACAGCAGCTGTCTCCTGGGCACAGGAGGGAAGGCTGGGACCCAGCGTCCTGCAGGGTCAGGAGCCCGAGGCCAGATCTGCGCTCTGTGCACTTCTGTGTCCCCATGGCCCCGGGCACCATCCCTCTGAGCTCAGGGTCTGTTGTATCTGAGATCAATCAAGGCCTCGAACCTGCTCCAGCCGGCGGGCAGGACAGCGCGCAGGCCCCGGATTTCTCTGTCCACATTGCTGGGCGGCTTTCCCGAGTCTGAGCAGGGCCGACGAGGACGCATGCTGTCAGCAGAGCTGGCCCCTCCTGGTCCAAGGATGGGGACAGGGGTCAGTGGTTTTCTGGCTCAGACACATTCGGGCTTTTGTTGGGACATTGCACACGCTCTTGAGTAGGAAGAAGGAAAAGTGAGGGTCAGCGTGGACGCTCTTGCTTGCCTGCTGCTCTGGGGCAGGGACGCTGTGCCCCGAAGTCTGGCCTTCGCACACCTCTGAGCTCTCAGCCTCAGATCTCCTCCTGGGGTCGGTGGGCCCCGGTGGTAAGTGCTTCCTGAGGGCTGAGTGCCCGGCAGGATGCAAGCCAGTCGGGATGGGCTGGGGGAGCCCACGCTCCGTGTCAGGGAATCAAAGGCCGTGCCCGGGTGCGTTTTCCTTCCTGCTTGAGTGGGAGACGCATCTCCCAGGGCCGGCTGAAGACTCGGCTTCGGGGCTGAATCAGCCTTGGCTGCCCCGCCGGGGCACCTGCACATAGCGTGTTTCAGAGTCACCCGCCGATGGCTGAAGCAACAGCGTGTCACGGAACAGTCACAGCTCGGCCGGCCCTGCCCAGGTCCTGGGGCAGCCTCCTTGACCACCGCTCTGCACACTGGGAGTCTCTCAAGGCCCTGCCTGCTCACAGAGACCCTCCAGGGAGCACCGAGGAGTGAGCCCGCCACTGCAGGGCCCTGGGACGGCCCCTGGGGAAGGAGGAGCCCACGGGAGAGGACGAGCACCCCTGCCCCCACCGCTCTGCTCCAGGCCGGCCTCCCGGCAGCACCTGAGCCAGGCCCTCCGCACGGATTAGGCCTTCCTCTCCTGCCAGCTCAGCTGCTTCCTCTCTTGCCCGAGGCTGTCTGATGGAGGAAACCAAGCAGTTTGCACAGCTCTCCTGAGGCCTCCGTGCGTGTCACACAATGGGAAGGGCTCACGGGGATTACGGACATCTGTCTCCTGGGAGCTTTGTGTCCCTGGCCCCCTTGTCCAGACACTGAGTTGTTCTCCCTGCGCCGGGGGCCGGGCAGGGCTCAGCCGGTAGGTAGCGAGCACGTTTGGAGGGGCGGGAGGGCCACCGGGCCCAAGTCGGGATGCAGCTGGAGGCTGGTGGGGAGGGCGGCTCTGACGGCAGTCTGCGAGGGGCCAGTCACTCAGCAGGCGTCTGTTTTGTCATCCGTGTCGTGGCTGGTCCTTAAGTGGGTCCTGCGTGGGAGACCTCTGGGGCCCCTTGGACCCTCCCCAATTCTCCCAGGGCCCGGGACCCTGTGTGGGCTGTTTCACCAGTCAAGCACTCCCTTCCCACCAGGAGACAGGTGGAAACCTCACTGGGATGGTCCCGGGGGGCTTATCACCAAAGAGGGGCAGGGCGTGGGGCGTCCATGCTGGTCAGTGCAGGACCCGGGGCTGCAGAGGAGCTATGACAGCCCTCAGGCCAAGAGGAACCAGGGGAGAGGGCAGAATGGAACTCAGACAGAAGGGGTCTTGGAGAGAAGCCACCTGTGCAGAGAAGTGACCGTCTGCAGAGCCCTCCCGCTGCTTCTCGCCCTCCCTCCGCTTCTCGCCCTCCCTCCGCTCCCCTCCTGGGCTCCCACGGGCCCCAGCCAGCCAGAGACCAGAGGCCAGCACCTCTTGGGAGGGTCCCTGTGGGTCGACCCTGCAGGCAGAGAGGCAGGCAAAGTCAGGTCACTGTTTCTTCCTGCTTGGTGACGTTTTAAGTGGGACGGTCTGGTGGCTTCACTTACCTTCAGGGAAGCTGGGGCGCCTGCCGGAGCTGGGCGTTGGCCTGGGGAGGTATGTTAAAGGTGGAGCCTTTGCATGGACACCTTGCACTCTGCAAAGCACGGATGGGACACGGAGCCCCTCCGCCTGCGCCTACCTGTGGGCTTTCGGGGCGGATTTGGAGGGTTTGTGGTCATCAGTTTGTCGTAGGTGTGCTTTTTCCCCCGAGCCTGTTGTGCAAGACAGGTAAACATTTCCACCCCCAGCTTGCGAAAGAGTGACTGCTCCTGACGGACGGGTCTGTGTAGATCATTCTGAAATGAGTTCTTCCCACTGGGAACTCGGGCTGGTCTTGGTGGAAGTAGACGGAACGAAAGAAGAAAGATAAGAGCAGAATCCAGCGACACTGAAAACAGGAAACAGAGAGACTCAATAAAACAAAGAGCTCTGGAAAGATCAATTAACATTGGCAGACTTCGAGCAAGACTGACCAAAAACAAAAACAAACCCCCCCACATCAAAAACCCAGAGAAGACTCAGACTGCCGGTATGAGGGATAAATTCTCAAGTCCTCAGAAAACACAAGCTGCCACCACTTGACCAATACAAAATAAATGACTTGAATAACTGTGTTACTGTTGAGAAAAATTGAATTTGTGTTTTGAAAACGCCCCAAAGTGAAATCTCCAGGCGCAGGTGGCTTTACTGGAGAATCCTACCAAATGTTGAAAGAATTACAGCAACTCTGTACCGTCTCTTTCAGGGAAAAGAAGAGGCAGGAACACTTCCCAGTTGACTTTATGGAGTTGTATTGCCCTAATGCCAGAACCAGATGAAGACAGCACCCAGAAAGAAGGCTCTAGGCCAGCATCCCTCATGAATGTAGATACAGCTCATGTCCACACGACCCCTGTTCACAAAGGTTCCCAGCAGCTTTCCCCCTAATGTTCCCAAGCTGGAAACCTCCCAGAAGCCCCCTGCGGGCGATGGCGGAGCAGACTGGACACACCCTCCCCATGGAACTCGGAAGACTATTCAGTAATGAGAAGGCATGAACTACTGATGTCTGTACGAAATAAAGCCAGCCTCATGGGCTCGTGTCGTGTGCGGGTCCTCTTGTGTAAGGTTGTACGGGGACAGGACTGGAGAACAGATGAGTGGTCCCCTGGGATTGGGGGGTGGGGTGTGGCTGTGAGCGGGCAGCAGGTGCCGTCCAAGGGGTGATGGAACATTCCGTGCCCTGACTGTATCAGGTCCACATCTGGGCTGTTGTGTTATGCCACCACTCTGCAGGATGTTTGCTACTGGTGGGAACTGGGTAAAGGGCACACCGGATCTGTTATTTTTCAC